CGTTCTTTCTTGTGACGATCCATAAGTTTCAGCAGCTCTTGTTTCCAGGTTGAAAGTTTCTTTCTTTTCTTCACTGTGAAGTCTTGGTGCCTGTGTATATTTACCCTGTGTATATCACCAAGATTTTCTTTGACTGCTGTTTTCTGGGGAACTTTCACTCTGGCCTTTTTTGATATTATATCTCCAGGAGCTTGTATTTCCAAGTCAGAAGGACATATAGGCTGTTGATTTTCAGTGTCATTTTTGAGCTTTAACCCTGTTGGAATTAATATGACAATCAACCTGCTGAATGGCAGAGCAAGAAAACCACAGGAATAGAGAGGGGGATTAAAATCAAAGATCACTGATTTGTAGTAATAAGAAGAATCTCAAAATGTTAATTCCTTGCAAAGATTCCTATTAAGGCACATTTCTCTTCTTCCCATAGTGTATTTACCTATAGGCAGCTCTCCAGGACTGTTCATGATCTCTGTGGATCCTTGAACCCATGGCTCTTTCCCTTGTTCTAGACAGGAGATGACTTTAGGTTTGGGGAGCACAAAAATGGCTGTGAAATGAAAAAAACTAAGGTCAAGGACCGCTAACTTAACAATGGTTAACTAATTCAAGATTATTTCAGTAAGAGTAAAGAACACGTAACAATTTGTTATCCCCAAATAGTTAAATGATTAGACTCTCATATCAGCTATTAGTTTTATTGTAGTTTTTTAATATATTTTATTGATTTTTTTAGAGAGAGAAAGAGAGAGGGATAGAGAGTTAGAAACATCGATAAGAGAGAATCATCGATTAGCTGCCTCTTGCACACTCCCTACTGGGGATGTGCCTGCAACCAAGGTAGATGTCCTTGACCGGGATCGAACCTGGGACCTTTCAGTCCACAGGCTGATGCTCTATCCACTGAGCTAAACCGGTTTCAGCTCAGCTATTAGTTTTATACTACACTGCATTTGTAGGTTGATATGCAAAGTGGAGATTATCGATAGCTTGGTCGATAGAAAGGACATAGTCATGGGAATTCTGTGCATGTTCCCCTCTTCTGCCACCAATAACTGCACACTTGACCAAGTTGGACTAAAACTCCAGAGATGTCAGAGTCATATTAATTCTTTAAGAGTCACCTGAATAAGACCAGGCCTAGTAGAGCCAATGTGAAGGTCAGTGGGTTAGGAATCATATACACAAGTGATTCCTACCATAATTATAGTAGCCTTTTACTTCGCTCTTGATCACCAGAAACTAAACTAGGAAAGGTTTCTACCACTCCTGCAGCTCACTGGTTCGTATCCAGTTGGATAAAACAGATCAACATCATTTAGTGGACTTTTTCTACATACAAATTTCCAAAGATGGGAAGTATTCATCATTCAATATTTCAACAAATATGTATTAACTATGGCATGCCAAACACTTTATGAAATAGGAATATAGTGGTGAATAAGCCAAAAACCCCTGATCTCATAGAACTTATCTTCTAGTGGGAAACTGAGGTAATCAAACATCAAAAAAACGGACAAAAGGAAATATCAAGTAGTAACAGATGTTTCTGTGTTTTTTAAGTCCTTACCCAAGAATATTTTCATGTCACTTTTAGATAGTGGAAGGGGAAAAAAGAGAGAGTGACAGAGAGAGAAACATGGATATGAGAGAGATACATTGACTCCCACATGAACCCTGACAGGGCCAGGAACAACCCATGACCTTTCAGTGTATAAGGCGACGCTCTAATCACTTAGAAACACCAGCCAGGGCAAGAAATGTAATTAAAAAACAAAAACAAAACAAAAAAAACAACAAAAAAACTGAAGCAGGATAAGAGAGCATCTAAGATTCTATTTCTACCCTAGCAGGTTTTGATCAGTGGATAGAGCATTGGCCTGCAGACCAAAGGATCCCAGTCAAAGACATGTACTTTTTTTTTTTTTTTTTTTTTTTTAATATAGTTTATTGATTTTTTACAGAGAGGAGGAGAGAGGGATAGAGAGCTAGAAACGTCAATGAGAGAGAAACATCGACCAGCTGCCTCTTGCACACCCCCTACCGGGGATGTGCCCGCAACCAATGTATGTGCCCTTGACCGGAATCGAACCTGGGACTTTTCAGTCCGCAGACCGATGCTCTACCACTGAGCCAAACCGGTTTTGGCGAGGACATGTACTTTGGTTGGCATCTCCTCGGGCTCTGGCCCTGTTCAGAGGCAACCAGTTGATATATTTTTCTCACATCCCTGTTTCTTTCTTTCCCTCTCTCTTCCACTCTCCCTAAAAATCAATGGAAAAATATCCTCGAGTGAGGATTAACAAAACAAAAAAGAAAAAATAAAAGAAAAAATTATTCTCTTTCTGTGAAGCTATTTGAGATATGGCTATGTGGAAGACTTTTATGTGGGACTAGGAGAAAGTGATATTTGAGCAGAACAAAATGTGCAAGTTTTGTCATATAGCAGAAAAGTATGTCAAGTAGAGGAAAGGGGAAAGTAGAAATGAGCATGGTTATTTAAGAAAACAGCAAGAAGCCCTGGCCAGGTAGCCCAGTTGTTAGAACATCATCCCAAATGCCAAAGTTGCAGGTTTGATCCCCAATCAGGGAACATATAAGAATCAACCAATTAATGCATAAATAGGTGGAACAACAAACTGGTCTCTCCGTTTCTCCCCTCTTCTCTCTTTCTAAAATCAATACATTAAAAAACAACAACAAACCACAGTTGACAAGAAAACCAGTGTGGCTAAAGAGACCTGAACAAGGGGCACAAGCTGAAGAAGATGAGGCAGAAAGGAGAAGAGACACCATATTTTGAAGGGTCCTGAGAACTTTGATAAAGAAAAGTTTTAATTTTATTCTGAATATGGTGAGAAGTCATAAGATTTTAAAACAGGAAATATCATAGTCTGATCAGATTTTAAAGATTCTGGCTGCTGCATAGAAAATAGACTATTGCAGGGCAAGAGTGTTGGCAGCATCAGCCAGTTAAAAAGCTCCTAAGATGGGCTTGGTGTGAGATGATACTGATTTAGACCAGAATGCTAATAAGGCAAGAAGATGAGTCACAGTTGGACTTAGGATATATTGTGAAGAGGGAACCAAGAGAACTGTTATGTATTAGTAGTGGAGTATGATGACAAGCTAATGGGGAAGAATGACTATGTGTCCTGCTCTGAGCTACTGAGTGAGCAAAGCTGATCTTTACTGAGATGAAAAAGTTATGAGAAGAGTAGGTTTAAGGGAAAGAGATCCAGAATTCTATGTAGGATAAGGAATGTGCACTTGGAAAAAGCTCCCAGGTGATCTAGACACACACCTTTTCTCTGCAAACAACATCAAGTTAAGAACCAACTAACTACTGGAACAGACTGTCCCTCAGGGGAGTATTCACAATAAGATGAGAACATGATAGATTACTCAGCTTCTATACAAAGGGAAGGGAGAATATTTACCTAGAGAGATGACAGTCTCATAGTTTTCCTGCATTACATCATTGTATAGGGCCTTCTGACCCGGATCCAGTAATTCCCATTCTTCTTGGGAAAAAAATACGGCCACCTCTTCAAATGTCAATAAGCTCTAAAGAAGAGAATGGGCTTCAGCTCAGTACCTGCCACTCCAGAAGTAACTCTAACATCTGGCCCATGAAATTAATAGTAAGCAATGCACTGAAGGAATTAATTTTTTTTAAGTGAGAAGGCAGAAAGGAAGGAGGCAAGGGGTCAGCAAACAGTCTGGGAAGTATCTAGTTCCCTAGGGAGAACATCGGGGCAAAATGCCTCTGAGCACTGCGGGGCAGTGTGGGTCATGGGCAGCAGGAAAAGGCAGCCCTGAAGAGCTCAAAAGCACAGCTCACCTGGGACTCAGGTAAGATGAGCTCAGGTGCCACTGTCCAGTCTTTGATGTTTGTAGGCACAGCTGTGGATGGAAAAGAGCCATAGGAAATTTCTCTTGCTTCTTTGAATATTCTGGGCACATTTCTAAAATATACAAGATCTGATTCTTTCAGTAGAGATGGAACTCCTTTACAAGTGTTATGTGATATCTAGAGTGGCTATCAGTCCTACAACCAGTTCCCAAATTGACTGTCCTCAGTTTTCATGACTGGTCAATAAAAAGAAGTCTCATTTTTCCCTCATATTACCTAAATTATTCCGAATTGGGCAAAAATTAGGTGTCTGAAAAAGTAGGAGAGTCCAGTGTGTCAGGTAAAGGAAGTAGGAAGGTAAAAATGAGCATTTCAAGTTCAGGAAACAAGCAAGACCGGTGTGGCTAAAGTGGATGGAGCCAGGGTACAAGTGGCAGGTAAGTGAGTAGGAGTTAGATCTTGGAGAAGTTTACATACCTCATAAGGAGTTTAGATATTATTCTGAATGTGAAAAGTTACTGTAAGGTTTTGAAGCAGAGAACTGTCATATCTCATCAGGTTTTTTAAAGACTCTGACTGCTTTGTGGAAAACAGACCATGGAAAGGTAAGAGTGGTGTCAGGGCATGTTACAAAACTGATTAGAGAAGCCAATAGCTTAGATCAAAATGCTAACAGGGCAAGAGAATGAGACATGGATGGACTCAGGCTGTGATGCAAAGAGGACTAGTGATGCATGAGTAGTGGAATATGAATGGCAAGTTCAGATTAAAGCAAGCATGTCAAACTTGCGGCTGGTGGGCCGCATGCTATAAATGAGGCATGCAACCTATTGGCTGCGAGTTTGACATGCTTGGACTAAAGGATGACCCAGGTATTCTGGCCCGAAATATTGGGTAAATGGTGGTGGCATTTATGGAAATGGAAAGATAAGAGAGCAGATTTGTAAGCAAGAGTGAAGAGCAGAGGAGAGTGGAGAATTTTAGGATAAGGAACTTTGTAAAAAGCTTGAGATGATCTGGATACACTTTTTTCTGACCATACCATCAAGTTGACAATCAACTAGCAACTGGAACCAGGGTGCATTCCCAGTAAGCTAAGAACATTAGACTACTCAACTTCTACACAAAGGGCAGAAAGAATCTTTACCTAGAGAGATGACAGTTTCATAGTTTTCCTGCATTACATCATTGTAGAGAGTCTTCTGACTGATATCCAGTAATCCCCATTCTTCCTGGGAAAAATACACGGCCACTTCTTCAAATGTCAATAAGCTCTAAAGAAGAGAATGGGCTTCAGCTGAGTACTGGCCACTCCAGAAGTAGCCCTAACATCCATCCAGCCCACAAACTGCATGCATGGTAGGCCAGGCACTGAAGAAATAAACAATACATGATTTTTTTTTTTTTTTTAAGTGAAAAGGCAGAAAGGAAGGAGGCAAGGGATCAGCAGTCTGGGAAGTGTCCAATTACCCAGGGAGAACATTGGTGCTAAATGCCTCTGGGCACTTCGGGGCAGTGTGGGTCATGGGCAACAGGGAAAGGCAGCCCTGAAGAGCTCAAAAGCACAGCTCACCTGGGACTCAGGTAAGATGAGCTCAGGTGCCACTGTCCAGTCTTTGGTGTTTGTCTGCTCAGGAAAGTCTAGGATCTGGTGAGTAGGCACGGCTATGGGTGGAAAAGAGCCATCAGAAATTTCTCTCACTTCTATGCACATCTTGCACTCACTTCTAAAATAAAATTTTGATTCTTTCAGTAGTTTGGAAACCTTTATAAGTGTGAAGTGGCCTTATCATTGTAAGAACTAAGTATCTACCAACCCCCAGAACAGGTTGTCCAGTTTTCACAAATGAAATTAATAAAACAAAAACATTTTCTCTCATGACATAAATAGTTCCGAGTTAAAGAGTTAAGAAAATTTTTAATGGATTTGAAAATGAAATACTCATGGACTCTAGTGTACAGTAGATGTATTATTTATCATTTATTTATTTTCATAGTACACAATTATAGTTCACATACTGCCACTGACAGCCCATTTGTGATCCCAATTCCTTCTGTGATTTGAGGATGGGGTGGCCCAATCCTCCACTTTTCTAAGGATCAGTGTTCATGGTGTTATTACCAGGGTCCTCTGGTTTGGATATTTCTGTACCTTAGGCCAATCCCCACCTTCACAACAGCTGGTCTATTCTAAGGCCATCTGTGAGGGAAGGGGGTAGGGATAATCATAATTGCTAATATGACTATATCTGCACATCCACAAAGCTGGGAACCCAGAAAGTGCCCACAATGTTCTGGCTGGACAAATTACTATCACAGCTCCCAGCAAAGAAATTATCATGAAGCTCCTTACCCCTCTCACACATAGGCTCAGTTTCTTTATGAGTATTCTTGCTCAGCTGTTGTTCATTCCAAAATTCTTCATCCTGGGACCTGCCCACTGGCTGGGACTCTGCTGGCTTCAGTTTGAAGCCTGAGTTCTCTGCTGTTTCTCCCAAGAGCACTGCCTCCTTTCCCAGCACATGGACTGCAACCTGGAAATAATTCCCATCCATGTTACCAGAACTTACTTGAGGCTTGGGGCTTATGGAAGAGGGAGGAGAAAGCAGAGTCCAGATTGTAGGAAATATGAGACACTAAAAGAAATGACAAAAAGACTTTAAGAGATAATGGGTTAGGCGGCAAGGCTCAGTGGTTGAGCATCGACCTATGAACCACGAGGTCACAGTTGATTCCCTATCAGGGAACGTGCCCAGGTTATGGGCTCAATCCCCAATAGGAGACATGCAGGAGGCAGCCAATCAATGATTCTCACATCACTGATGCATCTCTCTCCCTTCCCTTTTCCTCTCTGGTATCAATAAAAAAATGTTAAAAAAAAAAAAAAAAAAAAAAAAAAACTAAAAAAACAAAGAGATAATGGGCCACAAATTTTTCATGGAAGAGCTATCTAACTGGTCTTGCTCAGTGGATAGAGTGCCGGACTGCAGACCTAAGAGTCTTGGGCTTGATTATTATCAAGGGCACATACCTTGGTTGCAGGCTCTTTCCTGGCCCTGGTGAGGGGGTGTGCAGGAGGCAACCAATCGATGTGTTTCTCTCACGTCAATATTTCTCTTTCCCTCTTTCTTCCACTCTCTTTAAAAAAAAAAAAAAAAAAAAAAAAAATCAATGGAAAAATATCCTTGGGTGAGGATTAGAAAAAAACAAAAAAAACAAAAAACACCTATCCACAAATGTGGGAAAGTCAGGATAAAAGGAAAAAGATATGGCTACTGCCAGCCCTCCATCAGAATAGTCTCCACTCCTCTCTATAAAGCCCAGCTCAGACCACTAGGAGGGTTGTGCAGGCTGCCTATTCTCATGCTGTCTCGACAGCATCTCTCTATTCACTTAGATCCCTGCTGGATTTCTTGTCTTATACTTTCCTCAAATGATTAAAAATTTTTACTGTCCTATCAATCAGATTTTCTCCATGTCCAGGAAAGGTTTTACAGAGAATGTGGATAAAATGGAGAAGGGGAAAGAATGATTCTGACTCCAACCTCTCTCTAGATGATCTTGACACCAAACATATGCCCTGCCCTGTATTCTTGACAGTAGGCCTGAAGCCAGTTGATATGCTGCCACCTGCCCATGGGCATACCCTGGATTCCCATTCACCAGCAGAGCCAAAGACCAACCACTAAGGGAGGACAGAGAAGGCTCTTGTCTATTGTAGGAAAGACACTATCTTTTTGTCTTTCTTCTCTGTCACTCTGTTGAAATTTCCAAATCTTTGTTTTCAATTTTTAAAATTTATCCTTTCTTCCTCTGCAGTCTTCCCTACTAACTTTTTGGGTTCTCTTTCTTTTTACTATCCTTTCATCTTTTATGTTCTCCCTTTTTTCTGATCTGCCCATTCTTCTCCAATTTCTTGTTGCCCTTTGTTTCTTAGAACTTAAGACCCATCTCCTACAACCAAGCCAGACTAAGCTTATTACTCTCAATGCATTCTGGCTCCAAAGAGGGAAAAATGCAACTCTATGGCCAAGGAAGTCTCTGCCAGAATCTCCAAAACCTGTGGAATGACTATTGCTGCAGATCAGTGGTTTCAGGTCCTGCCTTAGATGGCCTAAAGCAACAACAGATCATTGATCTAATTCATCTTACATCTCAGTTAACTGACTCTAATCCCATTAATCCATTTTCATTCTATATCACTGTATGTTAATCAGGAATCTTCTCACCCCATTCTTTGTTTGACCAGATTCACTCTGCAAGTGGTCTACCAAGACCACAGCCTCTTCAATGCTCTGTAGGTGGTGCTTTTTTATCTGGGTCTGAGTATCCTTGGGCAGAATGGTCAGGAACTGTTCTAGCACCAGCAGATCCAAGATCTCTTCTTTTGAGTGTATGTCTGGTCTCAGCCATTGACGGCATAATTCCTGAAGTTGGCCAACAGCCACCCGGGGTCCAGCTGCTTCATGATAGTGGAAATTCCGGAAGTGTTGGCGAAAGGTCTCAGGACTGGAACTGTCCATTTGTGCAGTATATTTTTTACCCTGAGAGATCTCTGTCACAGGTCCCTTGGTCTCCCACAGAGCCTTGATCTGAGGATGCAGGTACTCAGCCACTTTCAGATCTACCATCATCATTCTGCTGGAACAGTTGTTCCTGTGGGCATACCACCAGTACCACCTCTGACAACTAAGGCCCAGTCTGGTCTGGAATAAAATCAATAAAAGGATCTTCTTCCTAAGGCACCGAGGACAGAAAAAAAACAGGTCAATAAGAAAATCACATGAACTATTTGCTACTTATTGTGAGAGAAAAGTGAAAACATCCTGCCTTGCCTTCTCTTTAAAATCAACTGCCAGGCAGGCCCTTGGTTTCTCTCCTTTTCTTTATATTATTCAGTTGATCTATAAGACAACTCATTAAGACAAATGTCAATTGATGACTTTGCCTTTAATAAGAAAATAATGGGTGAAAACTGTTGGGTGAGAAAATTGGCACCCAATGACTCCAAAGAATTTGGAAATTATCCAGAATTCATTGATGTGCTTCCTATCATATCTTTGCCATGTAAAAAAAAAAAAAAAAAAAAAAAGATTATGAAAACATTCTGAGTTTCTCTTAAATTTTAATTTATCAGCCTAGCCTTCTGCTTTCAATAAGAGGCACAACTTCTATAACCCTCCATCCTCTTGTGATGACTGAAGCCTTCACTTCGTGGAACATTTGAGACTCTCCTTTACTTGCATGAATACTTGGCAGGAGACTGAGACAGTGAGACCAGAGTAGAAGGAAAGTAATTAGGGGAAAAGTAGCCTTTTCTTCTCAAAAAGCATCCCCCAGTTAAGATGCTCAACATTCTTTTTTGGCACTTCTTTGCAAGACGTATTAAGGGCACTATGCAGAAGATTTATACCTGTATTTTATTATTTTTATTTTTTATTATTTTTTGTCTTTATTTTTTATACTGTATTTTAAAATGTCTGTTTACTTCCACTAGGACTTTAAAAGGTCTGTTTACTTCCACTAGGACTTTATTTCCACAACCGACTTTTCTTTACAAAATGTATGTCCAAATACCAAGTCATGAAAAGGGTGAGAATGGCAGTTGGTGATGATTAAGCTGACCCTTCTGCTGACTTTACTTTTCAAGTGTCTTTTAGACTTCTAAGGGGCCTATGGAGAATTTCATAAGACTCCCTGTCCCAGAGGTGAAGCTGCAGAACCGGCACCGAGATTCTGTACAGGATGCCACGGTATTCACAAATGAATGGCCGGCTCCTCGCTGTCCACCCCGGCTCAGGAGGCCCGGGGACTTGGCCTCAGGAGAAAGTGATCGCTCTGAGGCTGAACTGAGGCTCTCTGGCGGTTAACATCAGCAGTAATTGCCCCCAAGCTCTCCCCCACCCCACCCAACCCCCCGGCAAAACAAAACAAAACAAAACACCCCAAAACCCACGCCAGCAGAGGCGGGAACGTGGACATTTCTGGAGGGCATTCGGGATTCGTGAGCACTGTGCAAGCGGGCAGCCTACGAGCGTGCCGCCGCCGCGGGCACCGGCGCTTCTGCCCGCAAAGGGCAGGGAGAGGGACCTCCGGAGCCTGAGGGCCGGCCTCGCCCGAGACAGGCTGTCGTGGCTGGGCCACGAGAAACAGCGTCTCGCCTCCAACCACCTTGCAGTGGCCTCGAGCAGAGGCCGGCGGGTCTCGGAGGCTCCGCAGCAGACGCCGAGGGGGAATGGATTCTTAGTTACCTCAGGCAGCGGAGTTCCGTGAGGGCCGCTCCCTCGCCCTCCGACTCAACCGCACGTCGCCGCACTTCCGGCTGCTTCCCAAGGACCAAGGCTACCGGCCCCTCGACACTCAAAGCGGGTCCAGAGCTCCGAGAGGTGCGGAGTCTGGTGCGGCCAGACAGGACCCGACGGACCTACCGGACGCCTCGCCCGCCTGGGGCCTTTCCTACGCAAGTGTGTGAAACCCCGCTCCTACCGGAAGCGGAAGTGGTGCGCTTCCCGACTGGCTCCGCCCCGAGCTGAGTCAGCTGGGGCTGAGCGCTGGGGGCTTCAGGCTTCGCGGAAGGAACCTGCCTCCAGTGGGGTTCAGCCCCGGTGCCCGGATGCTGCGGAGTCTCCAGGGTGTGGAGCCTAGAAGGACCCTGCGCGAGGCTTGGCCGGTGGGTGGCGCTGTCTCGCGGCCTGGCTCTGTGAGGCGAGGAGCGTCGGGTGGTTCCTGAATCCCCTTCCCGAGGCCGCGGCCGTTATCCGGAGCCCCGCCAGGTGGAGGTCGCCGTCCGCTGATCTCGCAGGGTCCTCGGCCTTCCTGGTCCCTAGCACATCACGGCCTCAAGAAGGAAGACTTTTTGTTCCGTCCAGGATCAACGGACTTGAGGTTACCCCGTTTTGGGCTGTACATCTCACAATTGTTTTTTCTTGTGAGGTATGTGGAATAGGTTACATTTCTCGTTCTCCATGACAGAGAGCTAAGAAGTGACCTGCGAAGGTCACATAATTTACCATTGGCCGCTCCTAGACTATAATCTAGTTTCCCTGTTGTCCTTTTTCAGGACAGCACGCTTCCTGTAGAATGGGAACCTTCTTTTTATCTTGTATTTCCTGCAGTGTCTGGCCGAATTACCTGATTAAGATGTGCATTCCACACATATTTACTAAATCATAGTCAAAGGAATCTGAGTATTTCGTTTTGGTTGTGTTCTAATTACTAGTGTTTTCATAGTACTAGTCTCTACCAGTCAAAGAATTATTTTTTTAATGGGAGAGCTCCCCATTTTCTATCTTTTTTTAAATATATTTTACTGATTTTTTTTACAGAGAGGAAGAGAGAGGGATAGAGAATTAGAAACATCGAGGAGAGAGAATCATTGATGAGCTGCCTCCTGCACACCCCCTACTCCCCAGTACATGCCCTTGACTGGAATGGAACCTGGGACCCTTGAGGCCACAGGCCGACGCTCTATCCACTGAGCCAAACCGGTTTCTGCCAATCAAAGAATTATTTAAGTCCACCAGGTGTAATCAGTGTTACATAATTCATAGAACAAGGTCTTTAAATCAAAGAATCTGGCAGAAGTACTCAGGCAATTTCATGAGTATCAGTATTACAGTAGGAAAAGGAAGGACTTTAGCTGAATGCTTTAGAAATTCCAAGGAAATGGATGTTGAGTTTTGGTTGGGAAAAATTATAAAAGACCTTAAGGGATTTGCCAGCAGATGGGAGTGAGCAGAGGGTGAGGCACCAATTTTCAGCCAATGTGCTGCAAGAATTTTAAAATATGCCAATACCTGACTATTTAGTCAGGGGCATCGAACTGTTTTCCCTTACATTGTCAAATGAAAAGATGACAACAGCCACACAAGAGCCATCCAATGTGAATGAGTCAAAATTCATTCTCCATGACAGAGAAATATTTTTTCAGATTAGCAAAAAATAAATACACATTTTTTTGGTGTGCCATTGGATTTTAGTGATTAGTAAAGTGTGCTGTGAGATTAAAAAGGTTAAAAATTAGTGAGGTAACATAAAAGCATAGCCTTGAAAAGCCAGAGAGATTAGTGTGTGAAATTTTTAGTATTTTTACTAAATGTAACTGCTACATTTAGGGAAAGAAAGAAAAGTTCATGTAGATCTATGTGCTTTGAATGGAAGTGAAGAGAAATGCTTTCAATAGAGCATATACCAGAGCATCATTTGAAGGTTTTTGAGGGCGCTTCTTTCTAGGATGTTCATCTGGAGGTAAGTTTAAGGTGGAAATGAAAATAAGAGACCAATCTGGGGGAGATAATAGATCAATCGAAGTATACATGCATATAAGTACAACCAATGGACATAAAACTCTGGGAAGGGAGGGTATATTTGGGAGGGAGGGGGGCAAAAAAATCAATAAAACATTTAAAAAAAAAGAAATGTCTTAAATGAAGTTCTTTACAAATAAATAAATAAATAAATAAATAAATAAATAAATAAGAGACCACTAACCAGGCCACTATGCTATTTTGCTTTTAGATAGAATGGTGTTACACTCCTCTGAGGCATAGATCTTGATCCTTTTTTGAGTGAGAAAAAGATTAAACGGGTGATATCCATAGGCATCTGCCTAAGTCACTTGCATATGTTTCAAAACATTTCCATTTCCTTAATATCTGCCAGGTTGGGACTTAGTTTCTTCAAAAGTCATTATTGTTTCCAGTCTCTCAGAATCAGTGGACAATGATGCTTTTAGCACTGAGATCCTCATCAGCTATCCCAAAGCTGAACATACGATTGGAACTTACTGAATTGAATAAATGAAGCTCTGCTAGCAGTGCCTTTTGATGTAATTGGCAGACTTGATCCATAGCATGAGTAGGGAGTTTGTTAGGGAAGTGGGAGAAGAGACCCTGAGAAAGAAGAGAAGACAAGGCACAAAATGGCGAATAGTGAATAAGGGTCACTGGTGATTCTCACTGGTTGAAGTTTGAGGCCATAGTTATTTCTTGCTGTGAAGTCCATAAAAGTTCCGAGTCTTCCCTTTGATTTCACCTTCTAGCTGAGCATGGTTTGAGAAAATGATGAATGCACAGGTGGGAAGCAATGAAAGCAAATACATGGAGTTTATTTTGACATACCACCCAACTGCCATAACAGGCTGAGTATTTTTGCTGGGTAATTGGCTGCACTTAATAGTGCTACTGTTGGCAGAAAAACTTGATTTAAAAAAATATATATTTTTATTGACTTTTACACAGAGAGGAATTGAGAGGGATAGAGAGTTAGAAACACTGATGAGAGAGATACATCGACCAGCTGCCTCTTGCACACCCCACACTGGGGATGTGCACGCAACCAAGGTATGTGCCCTTGACCAGAATCGAACCCAGGACCCTTCAGTCCACAGGCCGACCCTCTATCCACTGAGCCAAACAGGTTTCGGCGATATATTTTTTTTAAATTTATTTTTAGTATTGCCTTAGTTATAGCTGCCTCTTTTACAAGGTTGCTTGATCTTAGCCTGCAACTACCTCCACACCCTATTAATTATGATATTCTTTCATGTTCTTCTTAGTGCTCCATAAACCAATTGGCACTTCTTGCAACCAATGTTAGGGGAAAACTAAAGCTTAGGCTCCTCTGGACTCCCAGATAA